AGGTTGCATTGAGATATTGGACACTTTTCTGGGCCTTTTACAGGTTAAGCTAGGGTAAGATGTGGTGTCTACAGAGGGTTAGTAGATGGAGTGAAGCTGGTCGAAATGTATTAGCTTGAAAAATATCAGGGTTTTGGGTGTTGTTTGTATTGGATTGAGGGGTTGTAAAAGTATGTGCATTGTAGAAGTTACTTATTAGAGTGTTTGTTAGTATCCATTGGTGTTAGATTATCCAGTAGAAGGGCATTATTGTCAGTAGATAAGGTTTTTCCTATGGGGGCAACTACTATTGTGGTGTTAGGCTCTTCTGTAGATACAAGATCATATGTAAGGTCATCTGATACTGGTACAGCACTAGTATAAAACATAACCATACTGGGGGTATTTGGGTATAAGGTTGTAGGTATACTGTTGAAGATATTCCAACTAGAGGTAGGAAGTAAAGAGAGGTCTAGTAGAGAATCAGAGATTTTCTTGATTGTGTAAAATTGTCTTAGGATCTTCATTGTAGAGGTAATATCTGGTTGGTTTTGTATTAGAAAAGAAACAATAATTTTCTGCTTAGAAAGAGTATTGATAATTTTCTCAATATTTTCAGAGATATTAGAGAAGGCTTGCTTTGTGGCTAGGTTGGCTTCCTCAGCTGAGGTGAGAGTGCCACTTTCAATTTGGATCTATTCTGATAGGAGCTAAGCAAAGTAGTAGTATCTGCAAAGGAGTTTGGCTATAGTCATAAGTTGCTATGAAGTTGTAATTGAAAGAGAGATATTAAGGTAGTCTGTAATTCCTTCTGCAGTTGGCAAGATAGGTTTGTTGGTTGGGTTGGCTTGCATTATTTCTGCTAGAATTTGAAATAGAATTGAATAATAGAGAGAAACTTGCTTGACAAACTCTCTTGCCTTGATATTATCAGTAATAGAGTAGTTGAATAGTGAGAAGGTTTTGATCTTGTTGTATCTTTTAGAAGGAGAGGTTTGGTGGTGAAGAAGTCATTAGGAAGTAGCTTGAAGATGTAATATTCTCTAAGCTGAGAAATAACTTTAGCAAGTAAAATAGTTGAAGTAGTTTGGTTGAATGAGAAGAATTTGTATACTTTGTAGTTAAGCTCTTGATAGGTAGTAGGTAGTAGTTTTTTGGGAGGTGGCAAGTCAATGTAGGTGTCTGAAATTTTGGTAATGGTGTAAAAGTTTGCAAGTTTATTTTTGTAAGCATCCAGATATTGGAGAGAGGATCGATGAGAGCTTAGAAATAGTTGGCGTAAGCTGGCTATAAGGCTATTGTAGTGTCCAGGGCAGAATAAATAGTGACTACCTAAAAACATGATTCAAACAATGATCAGGTCCCAGATTGGAGACCGATCTATGATTTTGGCACAACAACGATGCCCCAGAATTTGGCATTTACGATCAAACCAAAATTGGGTGAATCCCGCATATTCGGGTCCTATACGATCGTACGATTCAAAAGCAGGCATACCACTACAATGTGGTAAGAAAAAAAATGTTTCATAGAGGCTGTTCTGGGCAGGGTTGGTGTTAAATAGTAGTTGGGTTAGTGAAATAAAATAGATAAAAAT